TATGTCTGTCTAGCTCAAGGGAGCATGATTGATACTTATGAAGCCCTAGCTCTTATAGCTACATTCACTCCTAACCCAGGACAACCTGAACAAACTAGGATATTTGATATTGAGTGTATCAGTGGTACATGGAGTGGAAGGACTGGTAGTTTAAATCCTGTTCCTAATGGTGTTGTTGTTGGTGCTCCTACAAACACTTTTTGTTATCGGTGTAGGGAAGGTTTTGATGAGGGCAGTATCAGATGTAGAGGTAAGCCAATTAAAAACTAAAAAATAATAATAATGTTATCTTACTTAGCATGTGACACTGCTTGTAATCAGACTGGACTGATGAGGTGTACTGGATCAGGTTCTACTGATTGCTGTTCAGCATTTGCTGCTAATGGTCGGTGTATTACTAACATTAACTGTACATTATCATCAGGTCCTAACTATGTTGCTACTGAGAGTAATAATTTCACTTGCAGTAAGTATTACAATTGTATTACTATTATTATTATGCTTGATTATTAGCTTGTAATCTAACCTGCTCTGCCGGTTATACTGCTAATTCTAATTGTACTGGCTGTGATTCCACTAGTATCTGTGATGCAGACAATCCATGTATGAATGGAGGAGAATGTATACAGAATTCACCTCCTGATAATTATACTTGTAATTGTACTGGTACTGGATATGAAGGAGTCAACTGTACTGGTGAGTGATATTATTAATTGTTACCTTTTAAGGTCAATGGAACTAATGTTGCTGTGTTGTTTAAATCATGTGATCTATTAGCTTTACACATCGACATATTTCTTATCTACTATATTTCTCACTCCCCCTCTCTCTTCTTTCTCATTTCACTATATTCTATCACCATTATATATTATTATTTTTCCTTTTCTTTATTACAGTAATGTTCACTTCCACTCCTTCCCCTACTCCTTCCTCCACTCATTTTTCATCATCATCTCCCTCACCTTCTTTCTCACCAATATGTACTGTTTCAAACTGTGACAATTGTCAAAACTCCTTTTGCTGTAAAACATGTTCATTTGGTTCCTATTTGAATCCTGATGGATGTACCTGTGGTAAGGTTGAGAAAAATAGGATAGATCTAAATTGATTATGTTTTGTTGCAGGTCCTTGTAGAGTATCAAATTGTTTAAGATGTGAGTTGCTGAATTCAAGTTGTTGTACTGAGTGTGGATCAGGATATGAACTAGTTAATGGCTGTCAATGTGGAGCAATAAGTATTAATAATTAATATTGATTCACTCATGCATCACTCTTTTTAATGTATTGTTAATTCTTTCTTAATATATACAGCATATCCATGCACACAGCCTGTGGTTTGTGAGAAATGTGATGCTACTGGATGCTGTCAAACCTGTTCATCAGGTTATAGTATGAGTGCCAATAATTGTTTATGTCGTAAGTAAGAATGTTAAACACAGTGAAAGTTTATGCTTAGCAAGGTTGTTCATTGTCCTGTGACAGAGGATATACTCCATCAGCTAACTGCACTAGTTGTGTTTTGACTAACATCTGTGAAGCATCAAACCCTTGTGGTACTGCTGACTGCTCTCTGGGATCACAACCACACCAATACACTTGTTACTGTGCTGCTAATAGATCTAGTTAGTATATTCTATACTAATAATAAATAAATGCTCTTATTAATATGATATAGATACTCAAAGTCAAAGTCTATCAGCTTCTATTATTGCAGTTATTACAGTGCTATCATTGATAATTGCTGTGTGTATTGCACTGATTGTTGTATTGGTGGTTGTTGTGATCAACAATAAGAAGCAAAAGCAACAATTACAACAGCCTTCTCATGACTATGGTAATTTAAATAAGCATTCCATTTGTTACTGGATTGTTTTCTTTTTGAATAGATGTAATCCGTCCAACTACTTCAGATCCAGTAACACAGACTAACCAGGCTTATCAAGTTGGCAGGCAGCTGCTTTAAATACATAATGTGTGCATATTTTTTGAACTTACGTCAATAAATTAAATTATTACTGAAAGATTAGTAATGATTTCAAACTGCTAGTAATTATAATATTGGCACAGTTTCGATTCCTATTTCGATGGGGGCTTGAGGAAATTCTCCAAAACTTCCAATTGCTCCATGTTACAATTCTCCTACAAAAGAAACTCATTCACATAATCTGCTGAGGAAAGGATATCGTCACATTTACCTGCACTTCCTGTTTAAATGTTGTGCTTCTGCAGAGATATAATACGAAAAAGGAAAAAAAACAGGTCAGAGTCACTGAAATATTTTTTTTATTTTTAATAATAGCGAAAGACAGTCTATCAGGAAGAAACTAGCTGCAACAATAAAGGAGCAACAAATAAATAAAATTTAAATTACAGCTAGTTTTACTTACAATGCTAGCATTAATTAATTAACACAAGTGTAGCAGCTTCATGTAGGTCAACACAAATCATTAATTATAACTGTAAAAATTGTATTGGAGACACCATACAACTCAAATGTCTATGTAGTTAACATCATGCCCAAAAAATTTTAAGTCGGCACAACATTGGTTTTTATTTTTTATTAAAATTAAATATAAAAATTATTTCCTCATGTAAAAATTAGATGGTGCATTATGTATCATTATTATTTTGACTATTAAGTTATCCTTTTCTAACTTGTGCAGTTGTTTATAAAATAATTACAAGTTTAATCTTTGTATCTGTAGATACAGCTAAGTATTAAAGTCAGTGCTCTGTATCAAATTTGTAGATCAAGTTCAATTCTATTTAAATGTTGCCTATTAGTAAATATTGTTAATTTGTCTCTGCATTTTGTTCTATACTGTATGCATGTGAATAGGACAATTTAAAAGACAACTTGAAATCAAGTTAAAATAAAGATAGCTATAGCTACTACTACTTCATTTTTTTCAAAATAATTAAAATAGTGCTAATGAAGTGTGAAGTGCACTCAGTGAGGGAGTGTAAATTTTCAATGGCAATAGCAGTGGATAAATTTACTCCATTATTAGAATTTCCATACTGTAGTACATCTTTCATCACACTTCTTAAGTGTGCTAAATTTTCACATAATTATTTCTTTAATTTTTGTAGGTCAACCCATCAATGTATCTTAGCTATAACTTTTTGATAAATCATGCATTGTTGTACATACTAGCTATGTTACTGTTAGTCTATAATGTGCAAGAGCTTAACCAACACAATACCACAGAAAAAATATCAAGCAAGAAAAAGGATAGACAAAAGAGAGTCAAAGTGAGAGAAAGAGAGAATTCACTAAATATGATCATAAAAGCTAGATGGATGTAAAACACAGATCAAAATACTTAACCAGAAGGTTATGGATAATGGATCAGTATAATGAGACTACCATTAAAGACTGCATAGTGTTTACCTATATATACATTATTTCTGTGTATTCACTATTCAATGAAGAAAAAGTAGCCCTCCAATTTATAAAACAACCTAAATTAACTCACCAAACTAACTTAAATTTATTGTTAAAATCATTTAAATTGCCTATAATGTCTTTACCTTCAAAAAAATGAAGTTACTACTAGCTAATCATCATGGCTGCGTGGGCGGCTTACTTTTATCCACCCACGCATTTATTTCTAACTCCTACTCCTGTAAATGAAAGGGATTAGAAACGGGGCGTAGCATTTATTTACTCTAGCTCTTATCTATGCTCTAATATGTTTACTATGCTTTAATATGTTTACTATGCTTTAATATGTTTTTTTTATTTTTTATCTATGCACTCTTCTTTAGCATGTTACCAAGACTGGCTTCTCTTCGCTCACTATCCCTCTCTCTGTCTCTCTTCTTATAAAACAAGGTGTATTCTCTTAGTTTGAGTCTTGGGAATATTTCTTCACTCAATGTTGGCCATGAAGTCGTGGTCGCTGCTAGTATCACGGCTCTTGCTGTTGGTGCTTGTCCCTATCTTAACCAAGGCTTTCAGTGTTAGCAGAATGGGTAATAATGTTACCCTCACTGGTTGTAT